GGGGGGCGTTTCTCGGGGGGCCTGTGACGACAAGCGAGGGATCCAGAGCGCGGAGGGAGAGGAAAGGGGAGAGGGCGCAGCACTCGGTGCCTGGGAGGGCTGCCCGTTACTCAGATGGAGGTCGGTCAGTGTCGTGGCCGGCTGTCCCGGCAGCGGGTGTGGAAACAATCCATTGTCCTATAGGTCCACGTCTACGTGATACCCGCGGCCTAGGCCGTCGGCAATTTGGCCGCAGCCAGGAGGCCTCAATTTTTTGGATATTCTGTTTGGGTTAAAAAAATACGTGAAAAAATAATACAAAATATGGGCTCATAGCGTTTGCAAAACCCTACAACACGATAATGATTTTTTTTTTTTGACTTGATTTTCGAATTCTGAAAAATGAAAAACGAAAATCGGTTAAAAAGAAAAAAATAAAAATAAATAAAAGAAAAGCAGGATTTTTTTTCCATTTTTTGGATATGGAGTTAAGAGTCCTAAAAATTTTGCACAGGTAATGTTTTTTTCTTCTTCTTCTTCGTCTTCCTCGTCTTCTTCTACGTAGCACCGTGTTCGTGTTCGGAGGCGAACGCGAACAAGCGCCCCAAACCCTCCGAACGCGAACATCTAAAAAAAAAAAAAAAGAACAGTTCTCAGAAAAATCTGAAAAAATTATATGTTATGTAAAATAATAATACAAGCAACTTCTGCCTTGGAGTCATGTTCAAATTCGTAGCCAATCATGAGTTAAAAATCAAAAACCTAAAAAAAATATTTTTATTTTTATTTTTATGCGAGGATCTGGGTCCTCGGCACTGTCGGCAGGCCTAAGGGGCCCCTGCTGCAAATGTGCCCGCCCTAAGTGAATGCGGGCCTAACAACTTACGAGAGGCCCTTGGCTGTCAATTTCATATTTGGGGTCCAGGCAACTTCGTCGCGCCAGTTGGTTGAAGGAAAACACAGGCCGAGCAGCGTGGAAATTCCCAGGCCTTCTAGGCCTTTCCGAAAGCACAGGCCCTGGGCAAGATTCGCAGCCTCATAAACAGACAGTTGGGAGGCCCAACCGAATGAGGCCCGGTAGCTGCACCAGAGGCGCAGCACCTTGGGGCCTACCGGAAGCTTCTGGGCCCCGGCTCAAGGCAGCCGGGCTGCGATGCCAAGCCAACTCTTAGCTCGATAGCTGGCAGCTCATTCGGGCACTCGCATGCTGGCGGCAGCGCTGCTGGAGATGAAGCTCGTGGGCTGCTGCTAGCGCTGAGAGGCGAAGTGCAAGCACGTGCGGTCATGCAAGGAGGAGGGCGCTGCTGAGGGCAGCGCCATAGCCCAGCCTCCATAGCTGGTGGGCTTGGATGTACAGTGAGGCGCAGGGGTGGTCTTCGGGTTTCAAGAGGGAAGACGTCGGAGTAAGACGAGAGAGAGAGAGAGAGAAAGATGATGATGATGATGTAAGGGCACATACCTGGTATTGGCGATGGTTTGCATGGGCGACATCTTCAAGTACTTCGGAGGCTGCTGACATCAACAGTTGCATTGTCAATTAGTAGGCTAGTAGTAGCTGTGTAGGGAGTAGGCTGGCTGCCGAGCGCCAAGTAGGGAGATAGGGACTGGATACATATGTTGGTGGTGGTGAGAGCAAGCTCTCATTAACATTGGTTTTTCAGTGCTACGATTCTCCATTGGTGTCATATTGGTGCAATGCTGCTTTCTAAACACTGTGATACGATCTGGCTCTCAATGTGATTGTGCAATCTGAATATTGTCATCTCGCTATTGCTCATTTTCCTTGCATTTATTTTTTTTTACGAAAAAAAATGATGTTCACCCGAACATGTTCGCGAGCTGTTCGCGCGAACGTGCGAACACGTTCGCACAAACGTGAAGGGGCGTGAACATGTTCGCCGTGCTACGCAGGTCTTCTTCTTCTTATTTTTCTTCTTCTCCTTCCTTGCTGTTTTTTTTTCACCTTCTTCTTCTTCTTCTTCTTCCCCTTCTTCTTCTTCTTTGGGGAATTCGGCGGCGGTGGTCGGACACAGACACACAGAGAGAGAGAGAGAGAGAGAGAGAGAGAGAGAGAGAGAGAGAGAGAGAGAGAGAGCAGTAAGTCTCCAACCTCACGGCTGACCTCATGGTACTTCCATCGATTTGATGAGCAAAATCGAATGAATCTACCGCTAGAACA